ATAAAGCTCATTAATATTACCATTAGTGTTTTGTTCTTTGTTGTTGTCTACAGTGAGTCTTGCCATTATTTGTCACAACCGTTAGCCCACAACCAGTCTCATTAACATTTAATCATTTGTATTTTTGTTATTTCTGTGTATAGTGGTGCTTGTCTTGTTTTTATTCATTGCCAAAATTTATAAAATAGCCTTGACATGTAGGAATAACAGAGAATATGGAAGGGCACATCGGCAAACTCACTGGGCATCAAAAATGTGCCCCACCCCCCCCACCCCAAATTCAAGCCTTATATTCCTATCATGTAACTTGACTCTAAACGGAAAAGAGAAATAGGAAAACTACACTATGTATACTGGATTCCTTAGATTGACCTATATACATAAATTTGTTGTTAGAATACATTGACCTTTTGTAAATATTGGATAAGTTATTCAACTCTATAACCCTGATTTCACCTTGGGCTTATTGATTGCATTAAACTGCTATTGTCAACAAAACTAATACTGGGTTGATCAACATTGGTTTACACATTAACACTAAACACAAGTTATTGAAACTACACATATATACAGTCAATGGTAACTTGTATAACCATGTATGGTAGAAGTACACTGGAATAAAAAAAACATGGACATATTATATATTACCTAAAAATCTAAATTTATATTCCAGTGATTGACTGGTTACGAAATAAACCTTCCTTCCATTGTGGAAATGACACTGATGCATACTCAGTAGCCAAGCTATCTGTTAACTCAAAATGCAAAGTAATTGATCTGTACATAGATATTATTTTCTATATTATATATTGAAGTAGGAGAATGGATTTTATTTCCTGTTCAAACCTACTGTCATATTGTATCTTGTCAAAGTATACAGTTTGTATCATGAGGGAAATTTTCATAAGTGCTTACATCAAGCTGTTGTCAGTAAAAGCCCCAAGCTGTGCAGATTATAATATTTCATGTTTGTTTTTTTCTAGATTTGTGAGTTGTATTGCGGTGATACATGTTTGATATCCTTATGGTTGGGTTCAAGTATAGAACAGTATGAGTATTAGCAGTGATGAGGTTAATTTCTTGGTTTATAGATACCTTCAAGAATCCGGTAAGTCACATTTAATGGATTCAGTTTGCATCACCTTTGAGACATGGATATTGAAGCATATTTTCTCTATAATCATTCATATCATTGAACTGCTGAATAACCATGTTTTGAATGTTGTTCATTTTTCAGGTTTTTCGCATTCAGCATTTACATTTGGTATAGAAAGTCATATTAGTCAGTCTAATATAAATGGTGCTCTAGTACCGCCGGCAGCACTCATCTCAATCATACAGAAAGGTCTCCAATATGTAGAAGCAGAAATTAGTATTAATGAGGTATGTTTATATTACTGTAAAGTATTCATTTCATACGGTACAATAGTTGGTCACCACGTTGACTCCTGACAGTCTCCATGGATAGCTGAAATAAAAGGTATTAAAATGAAATATGACATGTCAGATGTCATTGTACGGTACAAACTCAGTCACCTTAAGATGAAATATGACATGTCAGATGTCATTATACGGTACAAACTCAGTCACCTTAAGATGAAATATGACATGTCAGATGTCATTATACGGTACAAACTCGGTCACCTTAAGATGAAATATGACATGTAAGATGCAATTATTCGGTACAAACTTTAAGAGGGAATGTTTTGTATTCTTAGTAATCTAATTATCAGAACCAATTTAGCTTCTGTAATTTTGATACCGTACTCGACCGCGTCAGCGCCCATGCCCGGGCAAGCGCCCATCCCCCACTTTTGCGCAATTTTTATATTTGGGGTCACATTCGACAAAGCGCCCACCCCTTCAAAATGCAACTAATTTAAAACTTAGTCTTGCGTAACGAATCTTGGTTATCGTTTTTATATGATACAGCGTGGATATCGACCGCTGTGAACATGTTGTGAATGCGTAGAATACGGTAACCGTGTAAACTACGCTTCGACAATGTTAATAAAAGTAAAATGCGATAAATATTTCATGCCATATTCAGTTTTCCTTTCAAAAATGGCTAGTCAGGGTTCTCCCCAGGGCTTTTTAGCGCCGAGGTCCGCGA